ATTATCTTTAGAACCGGATGGGTAATAATTAATTTAGAAAAGACGAAACCTATAAGAACTTGTCTTTCAGCAATATGTCCTCTTTATGAATGAGTGGTGACATGAATGTTTGGTCACATGGTAACAGCCAGACTTTAATAATTGAGGAACACAAGAAGAGGAGGGGAGAGCAAGAGATAAATTAAAGAGAGATTAAAAATCATACTTAATTCTTATCGGGGGAAAAAAAATCATATTAAAGTTGGTAAGCAATAAAGCTGTTATATTATCCCTGCAGCCTTTCCCTTTCCAAACTCTACATTTCCATTTCATCAAGCATGGTCACTGATTTTTATATATCCAACGGTACCCTCATTTCTACTAGTTTTCAAGAAACGGAGGAATTAATCTTCAGGTGTCTTAACTTTCTCCAAGCCAACTTCTAACAAAAAATTATATCAATTCGTTAGATTTCATAGCAAGGGTCAGTTTCTGAGTATCAACATTGATACTTCATCTATTTAATTGGATATATTAAAGCAATTATTCCAGTTGAAAGTTCAATAAATTATAGCTTTTTTCGCCAGCAATAAGTTATAGCTATTTAATTGATACTCCATGGAGTACTTTTATTTTCCAACCTTTCATTTTTTATCACCTATGAGGAGAGTTGTTGTATAAATAATAATTAAATCGTAGTTGACTCAGTCAATATATCCGCTGTCAACATGGGAAATATATAAGCGATCGATATCCCCTGTTCACATTTTATAAATTGTGCCACATAACATGAATAAGATACTACCTTCAGTCCTTAATATAAAAGCTAATAGACTAATTTGAGTAGATTGAGAAAATTAGGTGAATTAATTATTTGTAATAACTAAGTGTTATCTTTTCTCACTACAAAAAAAAAAAAGACTTTAGGCGACGACTTTCGGCGGCGACAAAAAAAGTCACCGCCGAAAATGGACTTTCAGTGGCGATATTAAAAAGTCGCCGCTGAAACTAAGACTTTCAGCAGTGACTTTTTTTGAGTCGCCGCTAAAAGTAGACTTTCAGTGGGGCCTTAGTGTCGCCGCTAAAAATGAACCCAGTGATTATGCTCAAAGGTATACTTTCAGCGGCGACAAAAAAAGTCGCTGCTGAAAGTGGACTTTCAGTGGTGACATTAAAAAGTCTCCACTTAAGGTTTGACTTTCAGCGGCAAGAATAAAATGTTGCCGTTGAAAGTCTACTTTCAGCAGTGACTTTATAATGTCGCGCTGAAAGTGTAATACAATAATATATATTTTATTTTACAATAGTAATAAACAAATTTAATTCGGTTCAGCAGCAAGAAGATTGTACACAAAAGGAGGTGGTCACAAGTTCGAACCTTGAAGAAGACACATTTAAAGTGAAAATATTTAGACGATGATGTGGCGGGGAGGAGTGATGTGGCAATGACATGGAGGTGGCTAGTGATGATGTGGCACCTGGTCGATGATGAGGTGGAGATGGCTAGTGATGACGTGGCGGCCGGTGATGATGACGTGACGGCTGGTGGTGATGATGTGGTGTTGGTAAAGCCAATTGTTCTTCGGCATCACTTTCAGTCGCCGTTGAAAATTCTTTTAGCGGTGACATTATTATCGCCGCCGAAACTGTCTTTTAGTAGCGACAAATGTCACCGCTAAAACTTCCAAAAGTCGCCGCTGAAAGTGTCTTTCAGCGACGACCTTTTTAGTCGCCGCTGAAAGTTTTCAACCACGGCTGCTACGGCAATGACTTTTCAGCAGTGACTTTTATATTTTCAGCGGTGACTTTTTGTCACTGCTAAAAGTCAATTTTTTTGTAGTGTCTATAATACTCCTCCGGTCCTTAATATAGGACCCAATTCTTGAGTTGGTTTTGATTCTAAATATAAAATCCATTTCTCATATTTATCAATTTTCTCTAAATTACCCCTATAGATACTCCCTCAACCATAATCAAATAGAAGAGGGATAGGGGGTATTAAAAAAGATGATTATGGTATTTTAGGAAAAATGTGTCACTTTTCTTATAATTAACTAACTTACCTAACTTCTTTAATCTAATCAAATTAGTTAAATGGGTCTTATATTAAGGACCGGAGGAGTACCTTTATTAATCATGTGTATTAGTGAGAACTACGATTGATAAAATATTTAACATGTGCAACTATTACAAGCTACTTTAGGAAAAAATAGATAAATATAAGAGAAAAAGTCAACTAGGATCTTATAGAACTAAATTGAATACCAAACTAGTTTCCATTTTGGTTTAAAATGTGAGAAAATTCGTGATGCATAGGAAAGTGCATTATTTATAAACAAAATTCATTCTGATTTTTATGTTATCCCTAATCTAGATTAATATATTTTATAAACAAGACTAACGCATTTTTTTACATTTTGGATGTATGAGTTTATCCCAATGCATCCAAACGAAGTCAAGTCATTAAGTGCCCTCAAACTGTATCGGTCTCTGTCAGTCCGTTATTTACTGCCATGATGGAATCTTATATCCCATTTGATACGAAGCATTAAAAATAAGGGATGGAGATTGAGATTAAAAGTGTAAAACTATATTAAAAGAATGTTTAGTATGAGTAATTATATTATACTTGGGATTAGACAAACCCATATATATGAGATTGGAGAATACCATGAGGGGAGGTGGTATTCTCCAATCCTATCTATATGGGATTGTCTAATCCCATATGATAAGAAAGCACTTATGCTAAGCATCCTTTTAACATATATTTTCAATCACAATCCCAATCTTTATCTCTTATTTTTAATACTCCGTACCAAACGTAAATTTAGTTCCTTGGTCCCCATGTAAAACGTTGGGCCGATTTTTGCCCAGAACAATGACAAACTTTTAATTTTGAAATTTAGGCGCTTGATTCTCTCGTAATTCATTGTGACATCGGTTTTTTTTTTTTATAAATAAGATTTTGAACTACAAAATACAGATATTTTTTCTTCAATAATTTTCATTGGGCAAAAAATATTTTCTCACGGATATATTCTAAGATAAAATCTTCTCTCAGATTGTCCATGACAAAACAACATTACTTACAATCTATTTCTCTCGCATTTTGAATCGTGAGAAATTCTTACCATGTTTTCTGAGTTTCTCATGGATATGATTTTGGCAATGAGAAAACTCTGATTTTCTTGTAGTATTGGAGGAATTTATTGTTAAATTTAGACAAATAAAAAAGTTATTAACACGAAGTTGAAAGAAGATTCGATGATTTTTTTTTTAATAAAAAATGTTAATATAATACTCCCTCCAATCTATGATATAAGAAGTTGGTTAATTTTTTTGACATGCTAAGAAATGAAAGTTTAGTCATTAAATTTGTCCGGAAATAATAGAGTTTTCTTATTTTCTGCCTTTAATGTTACACTTTTATTGTATCTCATATTTCTCTTCTTCTTTTTTTCCCATATTTAATGGAGACGAAAATAAAAAAAATCACATTAATTATCTTAATAACGTTTATATGGTGTACCATATTTTTCTTCAACTAATGTCTTATATTATGAACTATCATGCATCTAATACTATTTTGTCAATTATCAAAGGCAAGTGGGGAGCAAATTCTCCACAGAAAAATGGGAAACGATGAGATCGAAGGGGCATATCTCATCTTCATTATAACGTCAACTGTCAAACGTAAGTGGGGCAAATTCTTCAAACGTAATTCATTGGTTAGATGGAGGCAATAATTCAAGTTGAAAATCCTGATATGGTGAGCCACACCCTTTGTTCCTTCATATTCATACCTCTCATTTGTTATCTATTGAAGATGCCCTTATCTGCATGGTGCATTAGACGGGGGACCTGCAATTATTCTAACTTAATTGGTATAAAGAGTCAATTTTTCATTTTAATATAAGGGAACAAATCAATTCGTTAAGACAATGATTTTAATTGAAAGTTCAACGGTCCCATATTCTTCTACCTCACTTATATATTCCATCTATTCCTTTTTATAATATCCAAAGTTTTTAATCCTTTCGTTCATTTTTATAAGATTTGCTTTGGGGTTAACTGAGATTAAATTTTTTTTTTATCAATTTTACTCCTAATTAATTTTTCCCATACATTGTCTTTTATCATTTTTCTCATTATTACTCTTTCATTTAACCTCTTATAAATAAAGGCACATTTGGAAAAAAAAATATTTCTTACATATTTATTTCTTTTATTAATTTTAACAGTTTTAAAACAATATACGATATAATTATAAATGGAACAAATCAATAATTGTTAGAGCTTAGGACGGTCTTTTTAAGTTGAAAGTTCAATTAGGGTGAGCTGTGTGGTTGATTTCGTGCCTCTCGTTTCCTACTCTATATTCCTTAGTAGTTTGGATTAACTTTGATATTTTGGTACGTCAATTAATTCGTTAGATGAAGGCAATCATCTAAGTTAAAAAGTTAAACTATGGTAAATGACTAAATGCTACTTGATAATGACAGTACATAAGTACTGATATTCATTCCAACATCTTGCTTCTAACAGCTACCTAGCAAATAATATACGTAGAAAGTACAACAGAAGTGGGATGGTGAATTAGCTTCTTTCTTTCTTATAAATTTACATGAAAATATAGGGATTGATAGATATTGTTTCCTTTATATTAATAGAGATTATAATAAGCATAATCTGGATTAAATCGTGGGATGTTAACTGAGAATTCCGTTGTAAATTGTATAGCTGGTGGCGTTATCGAATAATGCCTCCCTTACAGCTAATGGCATGTTGGTCATAGTGAGGCAAGGACATATATATACGTGGCGTGTCTCTCTTTCTTAGTTATTCTGAGTTAAGTCATGCTGATGCCTCCCCTATGAAGTATTGTGGGGTCCCTATAATACTGGGTTTGAAATCTTTTGGAAGCATGTCATAATAAAAATTACAAAAACATATGTGAAATGAAGCGATTGGTCTATAAATAGGTCACAAGCAAACGCAGATATGTACATCAACAGCCGAAGATGGAAATTACTAATAACAATGAAGAAGAGAGACGAATGAGGGATCTATACAAGGCAGCACAAGAAGGCCGTGTTTCAACTTTGAACACACTACTCCAGCAAGACCCATTGATCTTGCACAGACTTAGTTCCCAAACAACCTTCTTTGAAACTCCTTTACACGTATCAACTTTACTTGGCCATCTCGAGTTTACCAGAACCCTTCTTGCTCGCTGCCCCAAACTCGCCCTTGAGTCGGACTCATCTCAACGCACGCCTCTTCACTTGGCTTCCGCACGAGGCCACATGCACACTGTGAAGGAACTGTTGCAAGCCGGGGGAGAGGCATGTTTGGTTCATGACCAAGAACACAGAATCCCGCTGCACCATGCAGTTATGAGAGGCAGAAGAGACGTTGTGTTGGAGCTGATTACAGCATCGCCAGAGTCTTTGAGGTTACATGATGACAAGGGGAAAACTATTTTCCACTTGTGTGTGATGTACAACCGGTTGGATATCTTGAAAGATCTGGTGAAATTGGATACTGATGGCACCCACGAGCTGCTCATTAAGGGAGACTTGGATGGCAAAAATACCGTTCTCCATTTGGCTATCATGTTGAAGCAAGTTGAGGTACTCATTTCTTACTCTTTCATGTTTGTGTTTCCATCCTTTTCTGGTTCTGCTATGTATAAGTCACAAGCATAACATATTATATTTGCTGCTTGTTCGTTGTTGTTTAGACTGTGAGTTACCTCATTTCAATTCAAACAATAATATCAGAAGCATTGAACTTGAAGAACGACATGGGTTATACTGCGACGGATATTGTTGAGCGAAGTCCCAAGGACTCCAAGAGCCTTGAAATACAAGTCATATTGATGGACCGTGGAATCAAAAGCCGAAGAAAAGAAAGGATTGATGGTGTTGCGAGCCAAGAGGAGAGATGTAGGAAAGAGAAGTGGTCGTGGAGATATGTTTTGGAAACTATAGACCAATGGCTTGTGTATAATGGGGATTGGCTAGAAGACATGAGGGGGAATCTCAGCACGGTGGCTACTGTCATCTCAACCATGACCTTTCAAACTGTACTTAGCCCTCGAGGAATAAGACCGAACGATCCCCTTGGCTGCTTGCCGTACAAAGATGAGTCTGAGCATGATAAAGGCTCTTCGGGACAATGTCCCGGGGAGGCCATGCTTGCTTATCGTCAAACACATGTCTTTAGCCTCTTCATAATGTACAATACCATCTCTTTTGTGACATCTCTGTGTGTTGCCCTCTTGCTTGTGAGTGGGGTTCCTCTCAAACATAGATTTGTGATGTGGCTGCTATCTATAGGCATGGGTATAAGTATCACGTACCTCACAAATGCTTATGCTGTTGGCCTCGTCCTTATCACCCCGGACGTTCATGATATCGATCAAGTGATGACCATATCCTCTTGGATTTTTAATGCTTTGCGTGCACTGACCGTTGTATACAGCATGGTGATATTTGTTATATGGGTAGTGAAGAAACTGAAGGCAAAGGCAGGCAAACAACTTTCGCAAGTAGTCCAGTGACCACACGGCTAATAATGCTGGACATGATCTCAATCAATTCATGCGTCTTTGGTGTGTACAACTTTTAATTTCAGGGGTTGATTACTGTTAATGTTCTCTGTGTACGCATAAATACACACACACACACACACATATATATATGCACTTAAGTATTATATTTATATTCAATGAATGGCTTGTGTTTTAATTTAGATGTTTTCAGTTCTGTCTTCCTCATCTTCCCTACTCAGCTCATGCATCCTCATCATCATACAAGTTGTGTCTCACGCTTCAAATTTTGAAGGTAGTCCTACTTTAGCGTATGAGAAACCTTCTTTTCCCCATGAAAATTCCTCTTCATCATTTCATTTCAATGATGATGTATAAACCATTTATACAGTGATATGTATAAACTAACGCTTCTTGATATGGATCACCACTACCTTGTATAGATTAAGAAAAGAAAGAACAACTAACTTTCAGTTTAGATACAGAGAAACATAAGATCTATTATTTTTTAAAGATTTTTTCTGTACTCTCTCCTCGCCGTTTTTCTCTATCCAAATGAAAGTTGTTTAGATCATTAAATTATGAAAAAAAGTTTCCAAATAAATTTGCTTACACTATCATATTGCTATCAGTAGTGACTATTGAATCTATTCGGACAGCGCCTTGCAGTAGAGGTCACGCTACCCTATTACGGAAGAATAGTTGGAGGATTTTTAATGCTAATTAAAAGAGCAAACAGATGGGACCCACAAACTTCCGAATACAAAAGGAGCTCACATGTCACTAGCTTATAGGACCGGTGCATGAAAAAGATTTTGTTCGGAGAGTGAAAATCCGCTTCGGTGATCTCCACGAACTCGAAGCAATTAGTCTATTATCCATTGCCGATACCACGTAGTTTTTAACCGAAAAAACACACAGCAGAATAAATAGAAAAGGCTGCAATGAAATGTTGTTTTAATCAAAACTATCACAAAGCACGTTTTTACGCGAGAGAAATGAAAATATAAGGATAAAGTGCATCCAGCATTATGTTTTTCTTTTTCAAATGCATCTGGTGCCATAATTTTTTTAGTGATATAAATTTAGTTATGACCTTTTTTTGGGTATCTGTCATCTTGATTTCTCTAGTTGCATCCAACACCCCTAATGCACTATGAATAAGATTAGAATATGAAAAATAAAAAAATTATGGGTAAAATTACACTGTTAAAATCACAGATACATTATTTCATTATTGTATTCACGTAAGTTTCTCTCTTTTGTCCCCACAATAATATCACTGATAAAAATATTTTAGTTTAAAATTTTTCTTTTCAAATTAAATGCTTTATGAAACATTAAGGAATAATTAAATGACAGTGTAAAGAACCAGAAAACCAGAGAAAACTGAATAATTCTTTCATTACTAACGTAGGCCCAATACAAGCCCAAATACAACAACCTGAAATTAAACCTCTTAACACTCCCCCTCAAGTTTGGGGTGCATAGAGGTTTACAGCCCCTAACTTGCTCAAGATTTTGTCATGATCTTGTTTTTCTAATCCCTTGGTGAATATGTCACCTTGTTGTTCCTTACTCCTTACATGCTCAAGACTTATAACTCCTTGTTGTAATTTTTCCCTAACAAAATGACAATCTATTTCTATATGTTTGGTCCTTTCATGATATACAGGGTTATTTGCTATACAAATTGCAGATTTACTGCCACAAAACAATTGCACCGGTTTTAAATCAGTAAATCCAAGATCTTCCAGCAGCCTTTTGACCCATACGATCTCTGAAACAGCACTGCTTAGTGCTCTGTACTCTGCCTCTGTGGATGATTTGGAGACCGTGTTCTGTTTCTTTGACTTCCAGGATATTGGTGATCCTCCAAATTTCACTACATATCCTGTTACAGACCTTCTAGTATCTGGACATGTTCCCCAATCTGCATCTACATAGCATTCCAGCTGAGCATCCTTATTTGCTGCAATCTTGATCCCAAGTCCTGGACAGCCCTTGAGGTATCTCACCACTCTCACTGCTGCCCTATAATGCGACCTCCTTGGAGCATTCATGAACTAGCTAAGTGCCTGCACAGCAAAGCTTATATCAGGCCTAGTTACAGTGAGATATGATAACTTACCTATCAACCTTCTGTATGCACTTGGGTCAGATATTAGATGGTCATCTTTCTCACTTTTCGGTCTATTGCTGAGTCTTATATTTTGCTCAAGAGGTATACCAAGAGGTTTTGCTACAGTCAAGCCTATGTCAGTCAAAATATCTAGAGTATACTTCCTTTGATTAAGTATAATTCCATGTTTTGACCTAGCCACTTCTATTCCCAGAAAGTATTTGAGCTGACCTAAGTCTTTAATCTTGAATCTATTATGCAGAAAATTCTTCACCTCATTAATCTTTTCAGTCAAATTTCCTGTGATAACCAAGTCATCTACATAAACTAGAACCATAGTCATTTCAGATTCAGTTTTCCTTATAAACAGTGAATAATCATATAAACTTTGCCTAAAACCACACTGAATAAGAGCTTCACTAAGTTTAGCATTCCATTGTCTGGATGCTTGTTTCAAACCATACAAGGATTTGGTCAATTTGCAAACTTTATTGTTTCCATACTGTCCAAACCCTTGTGGAACTCTCATATACACTTCCTCCTTCAAATCACCTTGAAGAAAAGCATTATGAACATCCATTTGAAACAGATTCCAGCCATTCATTACAGCAATACTGAGAACAATTCTAACTGTAACCATTTTTACTACAGGTGAAAAGTCTCAAAATAGTCAATTCCTTCTTGTTGACTATACCCCTTGGCAACCAATCTTGCCTTAAATCTATCTACCTCACCTTTTGAATTATACTTTACCTTATAGAACCACTTACAGCCTAGGGGTCTCTTTCCTTTGGGCAGCTCCATGATTTTCCAGGTCCCATTGTCCTCCAAAGCCTTTATCTCTGCCTTCATTGCATCAACCCACCTGGGATCTTTGGTTGCTTGCTCAAAGCTGGTTGGTTCTGTAATACTGTCAAGACTAGACAGTACACATTTATAGTCTTGTGAAATATGAGAATAAGATAAATAAGACTGCATTGGATACCTTACCATTCCTTTATTTGTTGTTGGTATTTGATCATTATCCATAATGCAAGCATAGCCTACCATTGATCTAAAAGCAGTGTCAACATGACATACATAATCTTTCATCCAGGTTGGTTTCCTTGTTTCTCATACTGTTCTTCTAGGACATTGGGGAATCTCGACAGTTACTGGATCCCCAGCATCCCCCATCTCTGGTTCATGACTATTATGTTCTTTAACTAAAGATGGTGGTGCTAAATCAGTCTCATAGACCCTATAGTCATTGCTAAAGGGATCAATCACTTGTTGGCTATGATCTCCCCCTTGATTGGGACCTATTGCATCTTTAAAAGGGAATCGAGATTCCTCAAAAGTGGCATGTCGACTAACATGCAGAGTTTGGGACTGAATATTATACAATAAATAACCTTTTTGATTATTGGGGTACCCAAGGAAAACACAAGGAGTAGAGCGACTGTGAAACTTATCATGAGTGTGCAAAACCGTAGCAAAGGCTAAACAGCCAAAAACTCTAAAAAATGACAAGTCTGGAGGGTGATTATACAAAATTTTGTACGGGGTTTTATAACCTAAAATGGAAGAAGGTGTTCTGTTGATCAAGAAAGTGGCTGTCCGAATGGCTTCCCCCTAAAATTTTAAGGGAACATGAGACTGAAACAGAAGACTCCTAGCAACTTCTAATAAGTGACGATGTTTGCGCTCTACAACCCCATTTTGTTGTGGTGTATAGGGACATGAGGTTTCATAAATTATACCTTTACTAGTAAAGTGAGTGTTCAATTCTATATTAACAAATTCTAAACCGTTATCCGTTCTAACTTTCTTTACAGCAGAAGCAAACTGATTAGAAACATAAATCAGAAAATTCTTGAGATGATGAACTGCTTCATTCTTATTAATCATGAGAAAGGTCCAGGTACAGCGAGAGAAATCATCAACAATAGTCAAAAAATATCGGTATCCTTTATAACTGGGAACCCTATAGGGCCCCCAAACATCCACATGAATCAATTCAAAACAGCAACGGGTAACAGAATGACTAGAGGGGAAAGGTAAATGGGTTTGCTTAGCACGGGAACACACAATACATTTCTCATCAGTAAGAGCAGGAACTTCTTTCCTAATCAGTTCAAAATAGCGAAGCTTATTCACAGGAACATGACCTAGTCTGTTATGCCAAATAGTCTGTTTAGTGGAAAAATGCAACACATTATCCATGTTGTTAATTCGTTCTATGAGGTAAAGACCCCCATAGAGTCTACCAATCCTCCTTGTTCTCCTAGTTGAGATGTCCTGCAGTGTGCAATAATCAGAGTAAAAGGAAGCCACAAATTTCTTGCTAGCTGTTAATTTAGATATTGAAATTAAGTTATAACAACAACCAACAGCATAATAAACATCGGTTAAAACAATGTCATCAAGAATTTTAACAGTTCCCATATGAGTTATTAACATTTTATCACCATTAGGCACCTTAATTACTCTAATTGGTCCTGCATACTTGTCTACCGTGGCAAACATATTTAAACTATTGACAACATGGCATGTGGCACCTGAGTCAAGTATCCAGTTTGATTCATAAAATGATCTAGGGACAGTTAAAACGATACCTGAAATAGTTTCTTCCAGATAGTCAGTTGTGCCCACTGTAATATCATCTTGATCTTTTCACAGAAGCTTCAATATTTGATCGTACTGTTCTTGAGTAATGGGCATCTGACTCAGTGCGGGAGAGGGAGAGGATGAAACGTTGCCAACATGACTGGTGTTGGTGGTTTGGATAGGCTTTCCTCGAATGTTAGTGGGAAAGCCAACCAACTCATAGCAATTCTCTCTTTTATGGCCCTTTCTATGACAATGTGAGCATTCTTCAAATGATCTACCGCGTCCTCGTCCACGGCCC